TTCTGGCAGGCTTGCACCTGGCACGGGCACCGTAGCCAGCCCGTGGCCCTTTAAGGGATCTGGGGCCAGGAGGGGGGCATACGAGTTTCCCTGGTGTTGTCCAGAGTGGCCACCAGGGAAACCTGGGGAGGGCTAGCCTCCCACTAGTTTGAATTAAGGGGCTACACACCCCTTAATTCGAACTAGCTAGTTCGAACTAGGCTTAATCCTCGTAAAATGAGGTTTTCCTAGTTCGAGTTTCCCTGGTGTTGGCCACAGTGGCCACCAGGGAAATCTGGGGAGGGCTAGCCTCCCACTAGTTCGAATTAAGGGGCTACACACCCCTTAATTCGAACTAGCTAGTTCGAACTAGGCTTAATCCTCGTAAAATGAGGTTTTCCTAGTTCGAACTAAGCGCTCCGCTAGTTCGAATTAAGTTCAAACTAGCGGAGCGCTAATGTAGCGCCTATGAAAGTTAGTTCGAACTAACATCCGTTAGTTCGAACTAACTTTGTAGTGTAGACATACCCTAACAGAGTTTAAAGAGAAGCTAGATAATTTCATGGAGGTTAGGTCCATAAAAGGCTATTATATAGGGGATAGAAATGGTGTCCCTGGCCCCTGTTTGTCAGAGGCTGGAGAGGGATGGCAAGAGACAAATCGCTTGATCATTGTCTTCGGTCCACCCTCTCTGGGGCACCTGGTGCTAGCCACTGTTGGCAGAGAGGCTACTGGGCTAGATGGACCTTTGGTCTGACTCAGTACGGCCGTTCTTATGTTCTTATGACCTAAACAGATTTGACCTCACTAGAAATGAAAATGCATGGCAAAGTCTGAAGCTGCTCAAACTCCCTCTTACAAATGCACTCTACAGAGGTGTATGTAGACCATTACTAGATAAGATGCCAGTATACGGTGCACAAGAATATGCCTAGAAAAAATATGACAAGTCCAAGTGATTATCACACAAAAAAGTGTGCTGTTAACACTCACATCCAAAACACTGGCAGGTTCCAGGTTATACTGATGGCTCCTCAGTAGCAGCTGCAGACCTTCTAAACTCAAATCAGTGTCATCCAAAGGGCCAGAAATTTCTGTTCTGAGAAGAGAGCAGGGAAATTTGCCACAGATATGGAATATAAATATTTATATAGACAATTAAACTTTGTAACTTCCCAAGGAGAAGCATATGCCCAAATTTCACCGTGGAACTCTACGGGCCTTACTCAGCCCTAGGTTATGCCAATTTGCAGGGATTAACCCCAGGAACATGACCCACCAGAATAGGGAGAAGACTATTGTGACACTAAGCAGTGGAGATGGCTGTGGGCCTTCTAAGGGGCCCATGTGTCTTGGAATATATAGATTGGTCTGTAGCACTGAAAGACTGGACTTCTATGGCATCTCTGGCAAAATTAAACCTACCCTTCGTGGAGGACATTTTGAGGGAGGAGTAGGTGATTATACCCTTCCTGCCACACCTCTGGGATAGATTCTCTCTGGATCTGAAGCTGGTACAATGCACACTTTTCTATATCAGGCTCAATTAATCTGATCCAAGAAGCTGTACTCTGGTGACTAAATGGCATTTATGGAAAGAAGCCCATTATAGAAAACGTTTTACAACACGACAGAGTGACATTACACTCCACACCTGCCCCTCCCACCTTCCCTCTGCCTGGCCCATCCTCCTCAACCCTTTTCCTTGTCTTTCCCATTTAGCTGATCCCTCTCCTAATAACCTTTTGCCTCCAAAAACATGGCACTAGCAAAAAGACATTGGCTACCATCACATTGTTCTCTTTGCTGGTGTCTTCTACTTCTTCCTCCACAGTTTGTGTCTATCCTGCCTATTTAGATTGTGCCCTCCTCAGGGCAGAGCCCCATTCTTGGTCATCCTATAGGCACCACTAAATAGAGATTTGCAAGAATAATAAGATAAGTGATGAATGATAATTAACCCTTACACAAAAGTCTCATAGAATACAAAAGAGTTGAAATCAACTGGGTTTTAGAGAAACCACTCAAAAAACCCACAAGACTTAAAAGAAAATAAGATTTTTTTGTATTCAATATTTTAACTATCCTCTAGATTTCTATATCAAGGATTTGATTTTCTATTCATTCTAAAAAATTGAGCTCTCTTCCACTGTTTTCTGTTCAATTTTATCAGACCTTTCTATAGAAAACCACATAGAAAGGGCCAGGTTTGCAGCCATTCCTGCCCTGTCTGCAGGCACCATAAAGAACCAGGTTTCTTTAAACATGGAAACCGGGTTTCCATGGGTTTTCCATAAATAAATGTTTGAACCTTTGAAAAAAAAAGGCCTGAATTATTAGTTTGTGAAAGTTTGCCCTTCTGTATACCATATAAAAGACAAGACAAATAGGCTGTAATACATTCTAATTAGGGGGAAATGAACCAAACAGATTACAAGGATGAAGAAAATTACAACAGTGAGTTGAAATAAGGGGACATTCTATATTGCAAGATAGCACATTGGCCAAATGGTATAATTAGGTTACGTACATTCTTTGTGGCAGACAAAAATACCGAGAGAAATGACAGGATAGTTCTGTCTCTAAAATATCTTCATTGTACATTTTTTCTACATTGTAGAGTAGACTCATACGTCATCAGGGTTTGAGGAGTGGGATTATACTACAATCTTTGCCAATATTTAAGAGAGTAAACGCCTTCACTAAAAACATTCTGGAGTTGCCCAAGTCTTCTCAGATTCACTCAAAACCCCTGCTCTCTTTCTTTCTTTCTGCTCTGTCTGATCAGATGTGCCAGCCAGGGCAATTCTCTCTCTGATGGTTGAACATGCTGTGTATTTACCCACATGATATCCCTGCAGCTGATATCAAACCCAAGACCCTTATGGACCATATATAGCAGCTTTTTCAAGGGAGTTTTACAGGATCTCCCCTCTGGCCGATCCAGAAAGAGATGTGCAAATGCCCTCTCAGCAGGGTGCCAGTCTCTGTGGATCCTACAGGTCCTAGTATATTAATCTGCAATGGCTCCAAGTTTCTCAGTGATCCTTTAGGGTTCAGGAAAAGAACTGCATTCCTCTATTCCTGAACCTCTTGGGTTCATTAAACACACAGCTCTTTGTTCTCCATTGTCATTAACAATAGGACTTGTCACTTTTTTGTTTCAAAATGTATTTATGAATCCAGTGATTTATCATTTAAACCCTGCTTTTGAGTAGCAGTGCCTACACTTTAATTCTCTCTTCCAAATAAAAGATAAAAGACCAGTGAATAGCAGTTTCTGTTTTTGGTCCCTTGCAGGAAAGCCTTGAGCTTTAGTCAAAGATAGTCAGGAATTCAAACACTCAGACTGCTTGTGAACTTGTGCTAACCCACAAACATATTTCAAGGCAATCAGAGTCAGCGGATGATGTTATTTTCCCAAAAACATATGGGTGGTGTGCACAGTATCCAAAGGGCTAATCTGACTAATGATCTTGGGCTGACTTGTGAGAATCGACTTGTGTGCCGGAGTATGGAGAGATGTTCCTGAATATTAGAAATGTGATAGATGAGGAAATGAAAGGAGTTCAAAGTGAAGGGGGAAGAACCCACATGAGTTCACAGAACTGAAGAAGGGAGGATAAACAGAAGTTCTTTGCTAATTAAACTTTCTTCCCATGATCTAAACCTGTATCTGATGGAGGTTTCTTTTAATCTCTTATCAGACATATTCTCCAGTATGACCCAAGAGGACACTACGGTACAGCATGGTAGACCCTGTTCCATGTTCCACTGGGTTTAGCACTGTGCGCCAGCCCTTATGCCCTTTACAGCATGTAGCTTGCATAACTACAGATGTTATTAGCTGACATGAGGCTATTCAGCCACAAGCCAAACTGTGTAATTGAATTGCCACCTCTGAGGTACAAAACAAAGGGACATCTGGGATAATCCTGAGCCCATCAAACTGGACAGCTGGCAGTGAATACTGAGCTGTTTGAGTTCTCTCACGATGTGCAATGCAGTTGCGTGTGCACAGCTGCTGTCCTCCCCTCACCTGTCTAGAAGTGCCCTTCTGCCTCTTCTTTCGGGTTGCTGTGAACTTGCAGACTGTGGCGCCCCGCAGCTCCCTTTGCCTTCTAAAACAGACTGAACCATTGCAACTGGTAACACAGGGGGTTCAGCACAGGCACTACAGCCAGGCAGTGGGACATCTGGCTCAGATGTGGCTTTCACTCCAGGACTAACTGGTTCTTCCTTGATCAGCATGTGGCATTTTTCCCTGAACCAAAGAAAAATTTCAGCACCACACTCTCACGTATGAGCACCAAGGGTGTTGCTATTCGCATGAATGGGAAGGGTAGTTTCTGGTTTTAATCCAGCTCCCATACAGTGTTTATGTCACCCCCACCCTCCACTGTGTGGACACATTAACTCTGTCTATATCCAAGTTTATATTTTAATTTTGGGCCTATTGAAGTCAATGGAAAGACTCCCATTGACTTCAGTGGGTTTTGGAATAAGGATCAGCTTTTCTCAGAGATTTTTCCTCCTTGTGTATGCACATGGTCTCTTCTTATTTCCTCTACCAGGAGAAAATGGGGGTGGCCTCTTTTAATCAGCAAGAGCTGTCAAAGGCACAAGCATATGCATCACGTGCTGTGGCAGAAGGAAAACACCAACTGGGGAGTCTTAGATTTCAATTGTCAGATCAAGGAAAAGGCACTGGTATTTCATTTAACCTCACACACATATGGGGAATACTAATGGAATACTACCACTTTGGTGGTCCTAACCAAGGCTGCCATCCTGGCCATGCAACTCTGTGAGACTGCATGCTTTACATTTCACTTCTGTCTAAGGGTGTGTCTAGACTACAGTGTTTTTTTTTTAAAGTGGGGTTTTTTTCGAAAAAAACTTCCCCTGTGTCTAGACTGCTGCTGCATTCTTTTGAAAGTAAATCGAAAGAATGCAGCAATTTTTTCAACTGTGGAAAACCTTGTTTTACAAGGAAGAACGCCTTTTTTCGAAAGTGCTCTTTCGAAAAAAGGCGCTATGTAATGCAAACTGTGCTTTTTTTGGAAAAAGAGAATCCAGACTGCCTGGGTGCTCTCTTTCAAAAAAGTGGCTTGCTTTTTCAAAAGTACTGGTTGTAGTCTAGACACTCTTTTTCGAAAGAGGCTTTCAGTCTAGATGTAGCCTCAAATACTGAGAGCACACCGCTAACAGGATTAAAGGATGATTCTGGAGCCTGCTGCTTTATTATTACTGTATTAACCTCCCATCTGAAATGCTCTTGAAATTGTGTGTTACCTACAAGCGAGATCAAAATGCAGAATATTTCCTGGAGATGTAGGACCAACTAGAAGGAATTATTGGTTCATGTTGCAAGAGAAGGTCATTAACACCAACTCAAGGGAGTGTCCTGGGAGTCTTCTGGGAGTGACCTGCATTAAGGTTATTATATATTAATTATTATTATTATTATTATCAGGGCTCAACAAATACACTCGCCCGCTCACCCGTGGCGAGTAGATTTTGCCAGGCGGCGAGTGCAGGGGTGGACTGGCCCAGTGGGCCGTTGTGACAGGCTGGCCAAAGCCCGCACTACGGGCGGCGCAGCCCCATCCGATCCGTCGGCCAGGTGGAGGAGCAGAGCACTGCCGGGGAGGGGGAAGTGTAGCGATTCTTGCTGCCGGGCTGCCTGCATGCAGCTCCGGTGTGAGGAGGTGGGGCATGAGCCAAAGGGTGGGATGCCAGCAGACACCAGGATGCTGTCGTGATGTGGCATTGTGATGTCACGGCCGGCAACTGCTGGATTCAAAAAGGCTTCAGCAGCCCCGCAAACTGGAAGGCAGAAGCCAGGTAGGGGAGGGGAAGGGGCTTGTGCTGAGGGGAGGCTCTGGCCGCGTGTCCCTGGCAGCTGGCTGCGGCGCGCGGCGCAGCCAGGCCCCGCCCTGCTGGCTCCAGGCCTGCCATGGCCCCAGCCCCTTCGCCGGCGAGAGACTGCTCCCGGCCGACCGCCCAACTCACTGCACCTGCCCCGCACCCCATCTGGCTCCCGCCGCCCATTCCCCACGTTGACCCTCCACCCTGGATCCCCTGCTCTCCCTCTGGCCCTGCGCCGCCCTTGCACCCTGCACCCTGCTCCCCCCAGCTCTGTGCTGCCTGTTCTCTGCACGGCCCTTAGACCCCGATCCCTCTGCCCCTCCCATTCCCCGCGTCCCGTTCCCCGTGCCTCCACCGCACCCCGCACACTGCTCCACCCCCCCATCCCTGTGTCCCTCTGGCTCTGTGCCTTCCGTTCCCCGCGCCACCCCTGTCCCCTCCTCCCCCTGCTGTTCCCTGCACCCCTCTGGCTCTGAGCTGTCCCTGCACCCTGTTTCCCCTGTGGGTCGGGAGTGAGGGGTGCTTGTCCACAGGGAGGGACTGGACAGGGAAGGGAAAAGGCTGCTGTGATCCAGCAGCAGGTGAAAGGGGGAGTTCACTTGAAGTGCCTTTGCCTTTATGGAAAAAAATGAATGAAAATGCTATTTGTTATTTATAGGGCTAAAATGCTGGGACAAAAATGAAAACAAACAAAAAAAGTTGCAAAATGCAAACATGTAAAAGAAAACAAAAAAAGGGGGGGGGAATGTTTTGCTTGGGGCAGCAAAAAACCTAGAGCTGTCCCTGGTGGAGGGGAAGGAGCTGGGCTGGGCTGTGGGGAGAGGAGGGGAGGGTGCAAATATGGGGAAGGGGCTTGTGCTAAGGGGAGGAGAGGGGAGGAGGTTAGGAAAAGAAGAAGAAGAAAGGGGAAGGCACCAAGGGACAGGGGTGCAGGAGAGACAAATCCCAGAGGGCCAAGTGGAGACAATGAGGAAAAGGGCAGGAGGGGAGAGGTGTCAGTGGGAGGGGGGGGGAACAGGGTGATGCTGGGAGAGGAGAGGGTAAGGGCACTGGGGGCTAGAGGGGAGAGGGGAAAGTGCTGGGAGAAGGCTTGAAAGAAGGGGTGGGCATGAGGAAGGTGGAGATGGAGCAATGCATGTGTGAGGGCACAGGATCATGAGGGGAATGAGGGAAGATGGTTGTGAGGGGGTGGGTATCAGGGAAAAAGAGGGCAAAGAGGGCAGGGGTAGTGAGGGAAGGGGGAGGCATCAGGAGGGTGCAGGTGCCAGGAGATTCTGGGGGTGAAGCAGAAGGGCAAGCACCTGCAGGGGATGAACCAGCACCAGAGGAGAGAGGCAGGGGAGGGGGGGGGAGGGGGGGGGTAGGAGGGGGGATGAGGCACCAGGAGGGTGCAGGTGCCAGGAGATTCTGGGGGTGAAGCGGAAGGGCAGGCACCTGCAGGGGATGAACCAGTATCAGAGGAGAGAGGCAGGGCAGGTGTAGAGGGAGGTGTTAGGAGAGGGGATGAGGAGGGGTAGCTCACATGATCAGTGGGGCTACTGGAGGAGTGGGCACAAGGAGGAGAGAAGGATTGGTGGAGGGGGGCAGGTGTCAGGAGGGCTGAAGGCAGTGAGAAGGGCAAGAGTCAGGACAGCAGAGGAGAGTGAGGGGCTGGGGGGCAGCAGGCACCAGGGGAGCTGATGGAGCAAGGGGAGGAGACATGGCAGCAGAGAGAAAAGGTAGACATTTATAAGATATGTATTAATAACTTGGGTGATATTTATTAAGAACATATTAGTAACTACTGTTCTTATTCTTATTAGGAATTTATGCCATTAAAAACACTTTTTGTGGGGGAGGGTGGCGAGTCCCTTTTTTGTCTGGTGAGTAGGGTTTTCCATAATTTGTCGAGCCCTGATTATTATTAATAGTAATAGTAATAATAATAATAATAATAATAATAATAATAATAATTATATTGGACCAGATTTTCTGATGGCATAATTCCATTCACTTCAACAATGTATCCCGTCAGATATCTTACACATGTGAAAAAGGTGACATCCATATGATACATCTATTTTACATGCTCCTTGGACCACCTCACCTGCACTCTGAGCACTATTCCACACCTCAGCATTCAATGTAACACTCCAGTCTGCTGGGGAATTTCAAGCTGCAGCCCTGCTTATTTAAATTAACCTGCCAGAGAAATATTTCCCTCTTTTTCCTATTGTGTAGCTTCCTCCTGTCTAACCCGTTTGAGGCCCAGGATATGGGCAAGTTTGGACACAGCCCAGAGACAGGATTTCTACAAGTAAAATTGTTACACTGGCTTTGTTTATTATTTGCAGCCATGTAGGATTAGAAACAGAAGCTTAGGTTTTCAGAACTGACTGAAGGATTGAAACACCCATTCTCATTAAAATTATAGCTGATTTGAAAGTCTCAGACTGAAGTATTATCCCATTGGAAAGAGAAGATTTATCCTTTTCCAATGGAACCAGGCTTCAATTCTAGCCATAAAAAAGATCTAAGCCATTAGACTTTAAAATAAAATAGTGACATCTTTATGTGTAAAAAACTACTATGTGTTTTTAGAAGTTTTGTATGATCCCCAGAGCAGCTGAACCCAAAGTAACTAAGGCAATTAACTCTATAGGCAGAGTGATACAAAAACAATCACAGATAAAAAGCGATCAGACTTCACAACTTGTTGCTGTAACACATGTAGTATATACAACATATGTGATGGGGTATGATATTACAAAGACTTCCTCAGCACAAATCTGGGATCACCAGAACTCATGAATGGCAAGCACCTATCAAAAGCTCATGCTGATAAAATCTTTATCATGCACCACAACATCATTCATTCATCATATCTGTCTTGTTATGAGACTTCTCTCCAGTGAGCTGATTTTATATATGTAAATAGCTCATTAACAAAGTGTCAGTAGATGGCGCTCAAGAATAAGCAGCATTGTTATACGCTGAAAATTATTTTTAGAGAGTAGATCTTCCCCATAGAACTAACCATGTCTCTAACTAATTTTATGGATGGTGAAATTTCAATCAGCATCTACAGGTCTTTTCCAGAGAGTAGCTGCCCTGCCTGTTAGCTAGAGAGACTGACTGCATACCTTTCAACAGTCCAGGCACACTGCATGGCCATAATTATAGGTTATAACGTTATCACTAACCCTAAAGCCTCTGAGTATCTAAAATGGCCAATAGGAAAAGATAAGCTATCTATTCTAACTCTGAAATAGCTCTGTGTATTTGGTTACTGTAGCTTTCTGGAATCTTTGCACATTGACCTAAAAGTTCAAGAGCACTTACGGCAGTCTTCTCTATTCCTGATTATAAGGAAGATATTCCGTTTGATTTTAGTGCTTCCTAACCAAAACCAAAAGGAAGATCTTGCTTTCTTTTTCTCTCTCAAAATAAAACCTACAAAACCAGACATCTTAAGCCTAGACATCGTATTTTGCTGTAGTTATTCATGACCTTGAACAGATCTCTAAGGGTACGTCTACACTACATGCCTCTGTCGGCAGAGGCATGTAGATTTGTTTGTTCAGCAAAGGTAAATGAAGCCGTGATTTAAATGATCGCGGCTTCATTTACATTTACATGGCTGCCGCGCTGAGCCGACAAACAGCTGATCAGCTGTTTGTCGGCTCGCCGCTAGTCTGGACGTTCCCCCTGTCGACATCAAAGCCCTTTGTTGGCAGCCCCGTTATTCCTCCGCCTCATTTACCTTTGCTGAACAA